AACACGAGCCCCCCCCTCCCCTGGAAAAAAAAAAAAAACCCAACCAACCAGCCTCCGGAGCAGCTCGCCTGGCAGGAGCATCCCCGGAGCAAAGCCCCCGCCGCAGGCAGAGCCCCGCGACGCTCCGAGCGGGGTTTTCGAGCTCCCGCGTGGGTCGCTTACCTTGTTCTCCGTAGGAGCCGCTGCCGGATGTTGCTGCTTGGTGATGTTCTCAGCCAGACACCAGCAGATCCTCTTCTTCTGCTCCTGGGAGTAAGCCTCCAAACTTAATAAGCACTCCGACTTCTGACGTAAAGGAAACACAGGCAGAGAGAAGGTCATTAGCTGCGTGTCGCAGGCCCTGGCTTTGTTTGCAAACTCCTCGCTTCCAACACGCCGTGTCGGATGAATGTAAGTATAACGGGAGAGCTCGCGCCCGCGTCCTGCGCTCCGGGCACGAGAAAGCAAATAGACGGGAAATCAGCTTCCCAGTGGCATCTCCTCCAGAGGGAGGGCGGGAGGCTGCTGCAGCACTTCGGCTGCAATAAGCAGGAGCAGAGCGGTCAGGCACGGGCAGAGCACCAGCGATTCCGCGCCCTGTGCCACCGTGGTGGAAACGCACCTATTAGGCTAATTTAGAGGGTGGAAATTGCTCTTTGCTGGATGGGAACATTAATGAGGCGCCTTAGAGTGAACGGCTGCAAACGAGCACCTTTGGGCTGGGTGGGGCTGGAGGAAGGCAGAGCCCAGGAGAAGCTCCAGACCAGCTTCTGCTCCTTCCTTAGAGCAGCGTCAGGGGTTGTTTTGAGGATGATGCTCCAGCTCTGGTCACGCACCGTCTGTGAGCAGCATGCGATGAGGAAGGAATTGAGAGAAATGATGGGAATTCATCCCAGCTGGGCCCACCTTGAGCCTCAGAGCCTGCCCACCTCCACTCAAGCCTTCGCCCCTTCCCTGCAGGGACCCTTTTTGATATGGACCTGTTCTTCTTTGGCATGTTTTCTTTGGGCCAAATCCCATTCATTTAAGAAACCTTCCGACCAAGTTCTCTCAGCAAATGTCTCCCAGCCCTTAAACTGCTCATCTCCTGTGCTAAAAATTAAGCATTAGTAACATTTGCTGCCCACTGGGATTTTGCAGGTTTTGCTTTAAAACAGGTCCAGAAATGCCCATGGCTGGATCATCTCCTTCTGTGGCCAGATAGGAAAAGAAAAAATAAATAAATAAAAGCAGAACTTTAGGACAGAACAGCAAAGAAAGAAAAAAGTCTTTCACTAAAGGGCATGAAAAAGGCCTTTCATTTCCCCCTCGGATTCCCTTCCAGAAGGGCAGGTCTCCACTTGCCTGTTTTTCCCAGAAAGGTCAGAGAGAACTGAGGAACCTGCAGCTTTGTGACTCCAGAGATGCAACACAACCAAAAGGGTAAACGCTTTTAAGTCACACCATTTAAAACACTGTTTTCATTGGGTGCTAATTCAGTCATGTTTAATCTAAAATCCCTACTAAAACAATAAATAAACCAACGTCCCACATCACCTCTAGAAAAAGAGATTTTTAGTTTAGCCCTTTGCCCCTCCAAGGAGACTTCCAGGAACAAGAAGATTTGATCTTCCTTATGTCTGGCCATCGCCACGTCTAGTCCTGCACCAGAAACAGCCTTAAACATCAAAAACGCACGCTCAGGCTTCCCAAGCGCTGTCGAAATGGAATAGAGGTTTGTGATTCAGGGACACAGGGCGGTGGGGGTCCCCCTTGCCCCCCAGATCCTGAGTTGCAGTGATGCTCTGAGCATCACCCAGAGCGTCAGAGTACTCCTTCCCATCCCAGATGTCTCAGTCTCTCCCAGTGCCATGCCAGCAGATCACCAGGCTGCACCACTGTGATATTCACTCACCTCCCTAGGAAGGTACCTGATTGTTTCTACGTTAGAGGAGAGGATGGGTACCAATCTGCCGGGCTGGAAAGCCAGCCTGGCATTTCCCTACCCCGCATTTGGGGCCAGAAGTGGACGCCAGCAAGGACTCAAGAGACCCTAAAAAACATCAGCGCAGCTGCAAGGAGCCCAGTGCCCACACTGATGCTGTCACTACTGCACACCCCCATCCCTCCCAAGCTTCTGCAACTCCCCCAGCGTGAGGCTTAAAACAATTCCAAGGGCGTCTCATATCCCCTTGCTCGTGACGGATGTACAGCTCACCTACCCCTGCTCTGCAGCCCCTTGCTGATTCGATTACGGTCCCCATCTCTTTGATTGAATTTCGCATAAAGTGATGCTCAGCCCACACCAGCTGCTGAGAGCAAAGTGTCCCTCTCCCTCCGGCTCAGCCTCCACGAGCCGGCGAGACTCCCCGGCCCCAAGAGTCTAGGAATATTAAAGCCAGGAGAGGAGGTTGCCCCCTGGTCCGAAAGTCAGAGAAGAAAGTCAGCTGCCCTGATGTGTGTCCTGGGTATCATGGGCAGAGCTGAGGGGGGACGTGAACAGCCAAAATTGTGTTTGTCCACTCTGTGTGTATTTTACTGTCATTTCTGCACTACAGCAGCGAGATCTCAGCACTTCACTCCTTCTCAGTGATATTTAACCTCTCCAACACACGCTCCCCACGGGAAGAGCTCTGCTTCTCCCTCTTCCATCAACCTGCTCCTCCCAAACATGCAACTGCGTTGGGGAAAGAGGCAGCCCGACGTGCAGGGCTGAGCACCCGCCGGTTGCCTCTAAAGCACAGGCTCCTGCTTGCCAAGTCCTTTGGGATGCAGCCAGACGGAGGGCAGACACGGGAAAGACTGACCATTAAATGGGATAAAGCTCTATTGACGGCACGTGTGCCCGGAGCCCAGCCCCAGCCGGGGGATGGAGGAGCCCAGCTCCACATTCCGCGCACCGGGGTGGCCGGAGCAGGGAGGTCGGCCGCCGCCGGGGCTGAGCCGTGTCCCGTGCACGACGCCCGCCC